GCATGTTTACTTTGAGGACTGTACTTTAAGGATTTCTTTTGGGTTTTTCTCCTCTACTTTTCTTGCTGCTATTTTATGACACTTTTATCCCTCCTCCAATGAGTGAATTATTTTATGAATGAACCTTTATATACTGGGTAGTATACTATCAGATTATACCAGTAAAAACGCAGGGAAGAGCCCTCTCTGTCAGTATTCTTCTACTTGAAATCATTCCGGTCTTTTGTTCCTGCTTCCATTTATGTATGTACAATTTTTCTTCCTTGATGTTCATGGTTATTCTATTCAGTTTCCAGCTAAAAAACTTAGGAGAATGCTGTTAAATAGTTTGCAGGTTCTGTCAAGAAAGCACACCAATAAGGGATGTGAGTCCTCAGGATGAATCATATTTCTGCTATCTGACACTGTAAAGTGCTTTGGAGAAACTGAAATGTATAGATTCAGTAGTTAAGGCTGTCACTTCATCCCACTTCTCTCTGCTTGTTCATGCACTGACATGAAGCCGCATCACCCGCCTACTCTCAGCTGTGTTGGTGGGAGGGGAGGGGCTGGGACCTTCTGGTGCTTTGGTTCATGCCAGTGAGCAGAGCTGTGAGCTTCCACCACCTCCAGGCCATCGTGAAGAGCATCTTCACACTGTCATCTGGCTGTTTTCCTGAAAACATTAGGAACCCAATTTTTTCCATACCACTGCTTGTCTTAAACGCAGGATTTTAGAAGAAGTTGTATTGTAGACCTGGAACCTGTTTTGGACACTTGTTATTAATAAAAGTCAGAGCTCATTTTGCAGAAAGATCACAGAGGTGAAGTGCATGCCTCGTTTTGTATTATTATTTTCAAGAATCCTCACCTTTTATTCCTCCAGCCCAGCAAACACTTCACTAGGACTGAATGTTTAGCTTTGTCCATGGAAGAGCTTCAGGCAGGTTCTGTTATCATCATGGTGTGAAATCTTGTTTTATAGCCTGGTATCTGTATTACAGAGAAAAAGGTGCATGTTCTTGTGGTGTGCAACTTCAACCACTGCTGTCCTTTAATAAGCAATTTACTTCCCGCACTTCCTTTATTTTGTTGTTTACTGATCTGCTTTAAATGCTTTGGCTGGAGAGACAGCACCATGCCAGTAAAGTTAGCTGGCTAAATTCAAGGATACAGTCAACTGTTTATACAAACAAGTCTCTTTCATATTTGGGATTTTGGCTGTAGTCTGTTTGTCACGTTATTTGAAACCATGGCCAGGTAGGATACCGCTTTTTTACTTTTCTTTTTCTCCTATTAAATTCTGTGGAAGGTAGATTTTCCTGTGTAGTGGTAAGCCATGATCACAGTCAAATGGTGACTTATGGTCTGGTGGCACATACAAGAAATTTTGGCTTGCTTTTCTTGCCCCACTGTGTATTTTGGGCAGATGGATGCTAGCTGGTGATAGGCAGGTTGGTGATCAGAGCAGGGTGAATCAGGTGTGTAGCTGAGCGGCAAGGGCAGTCCTGTGTACCTTTCCCCTTTTACACTTGGTTTATTTAGTGTCATCTGTTCACTGTGTGGAAGATCATATTTTTACAGAGAGATGCTCAAAAAGAGATGGGAAGCTTATCAGAGTATAGAATGGTTGGTGGTTCTTCGGTACTTGGCTTTGAAAGACTGTGCCAAATGTGAAACTAGTAAGTTGGTTTTTAAATACTGACTTGGACTGATGGAGGGGTCTGTAAGGTTTTCTGGGTTATGTTTCCTCAGTGAAGCTTGCATAACATCCTTCTCTCAGTAATGGAGGGTTGGTCTGTTGTCTGGCACTTTGTACCAGATGAAACCCTTAGCTTACTGATGAGGCTTTCTTAGTGAGTGTTTTTCTTAATGAGTGTATTTCTACTATCTTGCTGCTTTGTTTATTTATTTATTGCCATTTCTGGGACTGGGTTCCATTAGCTTTGAAAGGCTTTCTCATACGGACTGTTACATGCAGCCAGCCAGGCCCAATGGGAGAAGGTGAGGGAGTGCCACAGCCAGGAGACCTTCTGTGGCCCTGGTCACAGTGCTGAGAGACACATGCTTCCCTGGAATGCCAGCTGGTGTCTGGTAGCCTGAGCTGAGCTGAAGCTAATGAACCTGCACTGTGCTCACGCTGGTCTGTGTGAAGGTATGTACGTGGACCAGCACTGAGCTCTTCAGGGCTGCTGGCTCAAGAGTCAGTCTTTACAGCGTAACTTAGAAATGCTCTCCCAGCTCCTGGGAATGTAAACATGCACCAAAAGTGGTGTGTTCCTTCCTTGCTATTCTTTCCCACTGGACGGTGCTGCAGCAACTGAAGCTTGATGTGCTCACAGTCTTTGTGTCTGTAGGTGTAAAACTGAGAATATATCCCAGAACACCTCTGGATGCTTTCTATTTCCTTGAATTACAGTAACTATAGAGATTGTGCTGGGGATGACTGTCTACGCCCCACTGTGTTAGCACTGTTTGTAGGCTCCAGCTGTGCTGTGCTGTTCCATCTTCATGTTGCAACATGAGAGATGCTCATGAGGTGTTAGGAAGATCATCTTTGTACTGAAAATGGTTAAAGACTGAACCAGGTTGTCTGGAAGGGTTGTGGCATGTGTCCTTAGAGATGTTTGAGGCTCAGCTGGATGATCTAGAGCAGTCTGGTCTAATTATAATTAGCTTTGCTTTAAGCAGCTGGCTGGACTGGATGACCTCCAAATGTCCTTTCTCACCTATGTTATTCTGTCCTTCTGTGTTATTTTATGCCTAAATTTTTCTTACTGTTAGTAATAATTTTATTACTCTGTCCCTTTTGAAAGCATGTGTGTAGATGAATATATGTCCAGATACTGAACATCTCTCTAACCAAGAAGTCAAAAGAGTTTTGCACTTAATGGATTGATTTAACTTGCAGTGGTAGTAACGTTGTTTGCTGCAGTTCTGTTAACACTTGTTTAATGCCGTAAAAGCTGAAAGCCTCCAAAGAGGTGTATTGTGGAAAAAAACCTAATAAAGGGTAAAGTAAACTGAATTTCTCTTCTATAAATGTATTTTAAATGTCTACTACATCAGAACTGCCTCAGACTTAATTAGCTTAGGCTCTCATAAGTCAACTCAGTTCTTGCTGGAATGGTTAGATGCAGTTTGAGAGGTGCAATGTGGAACTGTTAATGAGAGCAAAGCTATTTAGAGAGAGGGAGAAGAAGACTGCTGCTCCCAAAGCAGTCAGTGTGTTTAATGAAAGAAGTGCTGGGTGATAGAAGAGGAAGAAATGTCCCAGTTTCCCACCAGCTGTATGTGAAACTGCCATGTGGCAATATGTTTGATGGTGATACAGGGAGGGTGGTAGAGGAATGGTACTGGAGTGGCATCCTGTTGGGATCTTGGAGCATGGCAGCTGGCAAGCCATGGGCGCTCAGGCCTGTTTCCCTGGTTTTAGGTTTTGCTGCCTGATCCTTGAGCTTGAAAGGTATTCTAAGCGATAATGAAGAGTTAAGAGACTCTGGGGGGAAGAGGCAAGCAGTTTGAGGAAGAAAAGGAAATGCATTGCACAAAGCTATGCATTGCACAAGGCTTGGGTAAGAAAAAAGAGTTAGTGAGATACTAAAGAGGCAGGAGAAAAGGCAGGAATGCATGTTAATGGAAAGGAGAGGAAACTCAGTAGAGATTGAAGTTGAGACAAGTAGGCAGAGATTGAAAACCTCCAGGAACTACTTACAGAAGGCACATTTAGATGTCATGTTACACTTCATTGCAGCATACAGTAAGGAAGTGCATACAGTATTCCTCATTTTACAAGTGGTTTTGTGAGCAACTACTGTTGCTCTTGCTGCTAAGTTTGATGATTTCACTGCTAAATGGGGAATACTTGCATGTTCATACTTCTACAGATAAATGTGTTTGGGGATGGTTAATATATATATTCATTTTTACATCATTTTTTAACTATTTATTGTGAAACGAGTACAGCTGGAATTAAGGGTGAGCTGCAGAAGTCCTTGCAGAGACAAATTGCTCTTATGGCTTTGGATGCTGCTGAAAATCTTTAAATGACCTAAGAATACTCACATGTAGCCTAAGAGACACTATATACGAGCTGATAGTTCTTTGAGTCATTTCCTGCTGAAAGTGTTATGCAAAGCTTGCTGCTAGAGGGGGTGTATGTGAGCGGGTATATAGAACATCAAACCTGAGCTGTGCTTATCTCCAGAGTTCTTTATGTGCCTTTGCTGATGTGGAGTGCAAATATGACAATCAGTATGCTGCCTGTAAGCCGTGCTTAGGTTTAGATAATGGTTATTAGAAATTGTGATCGTCCTTAGGGGTTGTTCTCTGGGTTTTATTTTCCACTTCTGATCAACTATAAAATAGGACGTGTTTTCAACAATTCTTAGTTTCTCTGCTCTACTGGCCGCTTTGGATTGTGCTTTAAAATGTAATCTTTCAAACTTTTTTTTTTTTTTTTTAAGAAAAATGTAGCAAACCTTGAATATATAGGATTCTCACAAAGCCTATGTGCCTGCTTGATTTAATAGTCTGTCTTGTGATATAGCACAAAAAGATAACTGATGACTTTACAGACCAGTGCTGGCTTTATTTTATAACCTCAGTCATGTGGGGTTTATGCAGTTGGAAATGACTGTTTCAACTGCAAATGCTTCAGCTGGTTTCTGCTGCTGAAACACATTTATTTCTTTGTAGCTAAATGCTTGCAATGCAAAATCCTACTGTATGTTGAGAATCAATTCTAGGATAGGAAATGCATGATAAGTCTCTTGGTAAAGTTACCACAAGAACAGTTTAAGGACTACGATTTTAAGTCATAAAAGTTTATTTACTGGACCTTCTTGGAAAGATTCCACTTAACAAAAGGACTATAATTTAGAAAAACTGAACATCGACACAGATTGTGTTTCAAACCTAATCTGTGAAAAATAGGGCTTACTTTTCACCTTGACTGGTATTTTGTTGTTGAATTCTGTGCTGTATCTGTAATGACAGACTTCTGGCTTCCTTCTTTATAGGCTCAGACTATTCCTCTGTGGGATGGTTACCTGGTACTGATTCCCTGTGGCAGTCTGCAACCATTGCGTCAAGCAGTCAAAGCAATCCTGTCAGAAGACACAGTATAGCTTCCGACAGCGGGGACACTGGGATTGGTACCTCCTGTTCTGATAGTGTGGAAGGTGAGTGTACACTGTTCAACTTTGGATGTTTCTGAGAGAGAAACGATCCAAACTGTTTTGAAGGTATGTTTCTGAAGATCATGGTGATTTTTCCAGAGCTGTCGAGAGCGTGCAGTTCTATAGTTTTCTGACTGGACCAAATATTTGTTTTGGCAAGACTTAATTAGTTTACTTCTGCATGAGTTGTGCTCATTAACTTGCATTTCTGCAACAAAGCTGGTAACTGTTTCATCTTTTGATAGCTGCAGTTAGAAGAGGTGCCAGACTTAAACAGGGAAAGAATATCTTGTGCAATTGTGCTTGGTAAATAGCTGGTAAAAACAGAGGAAAGAAATTTAGGAGTTGCTGAAAGGGCACACTGCTTTCTCATATTTTTACGTGCACCAGCAGTGAAATCTTACTCATTGGGACTTTCGGGAAAACAGGGTTACCATTCTTCAGTTTGTTACTTCTCTTGGGGAAACAGGTTTGCGTTTTACTGCGTGGCATTTGACACCTAATCATGCCCCCCTGAACTTTCCTTTTCTGATTGAGGTACTTTTAGAATGTCAATTAATCAGTGATCTTTTTGGGGTGTATCAGCTGTATCTAAAGATTGTCAAAACTCAATTTGTATTAAATCATTATTCCTCTAAGTTGCTCTTGTTAAGTAAGGTTTCAGCCTCTAAGGTAGCAGCATCTCCATAATATTACAGCTCTGTCTATGGCGTGTGAAACTGGGAGGAGGAGAGAACAGTGAGGAGAGCTTGAGATTGCCTTCTTGCAATGCCTAATGTCCCAGTAAGATTTTCAAGAGTAAGAGAAATGGAAAATAGACCTGTAGTATAACTTTCTCCAGTGCTGTTATGTGTGGATGAGTGGACAGCTGACATGAGGTAGCACAGGGAAAATCAGTAGAAGTGAAGAAAGGGATGCTATACTGTATGAGATACAGGATAATATACACGAGGGCTGAGTGTTCCTGAGGAGAGGTCTAGCTGTTGGAACACTTGTTAGTTTTAGTAGATGAGGGAATTGTCTGCTGCCCTTCTTCCTGTTTCATCTGTCAGTTAGAAAGGAACTGTCGGAGACTCCTTACAACTTTCTTTCCATGTACTTGGAAAGAAAAGTAAGGAAAAGGAAAGAACTATGCAAGTTCTTTGGTATGAAATTGAAATATTAAATGGTTATTAATATGGAAGTCTTACTGTTTTTTTTCTTTTTTTATTGGAATTGTAGGGAGACTAAAGCTCTCATGCTTACTGTATATGTATTTACAAGCTGACTTGCCCATGTGTTGTAGAACAGTATTTTAAAATGCTATATCTGAATAGAAACCATTCTTGCCTGCTTGTTTTTTTTTTTCCGTCTCTTCTCTTGAGGGCTTTACCATTTGAGGGGAGGGAGTAAGAAGAGGAAATGAAACAGCACCTCTTCGTCAGATGGTTCTCCTGGCTGAGGAAACCAAAATAGCTGTTCTTTGATGGGGGTGGGGAGGGAGATGACACTGATGCAGCCCCAAGTTTGAAAGTCAGTTGTTGCTATCTAATGACTCTGACCATTTGTGTGCTTTGTGTAGAGTATTATTGCAAGCTGCATTAGGAGTTTCTTAGATAGAAAATGAAGAGGGAGAAATGGCAACAACTGGCTTATGAAGTTTGTGCGTCTGGTGGTACTTACATGTAATGGTCAATTTTTCTGTATCTTTAATATTATGTTTCCTGCCACCTTGTTTGAGAAACTTTTAGCAGAAAGGAAAACATTAAAGGAGAAAAAAAGGAAATGTGAAGTGAAAGATAGTGAAAGGAATGTATGACAGGATTGGGTGTTGAATGTATGTACATTTTTAGAGGAAAGTGCAGTTGCCTATGATACCTAGCTGTCCACATCTCCAGCTGCTCCCTCCCCACACCCACAAAAAGAAAAGAATATTGTGATCTGGGGACTGCCAGGCCAGACTGGTAATTGCAGGCTTGATGCTGGCCATCTGCTCTCCATGTGCTGCTTTGGACATCTCTTGGGGATTTTGTAGAGGGGAATTTTTTCTCACAAGTCAGCAGATCATTAGAATTTTTAACAATGCTTAGAGAGTGAAATGTGGCCTTGCTATTTCCTTTTTACTATGTCTACCAAAAAGCAAAAACTTAATTTCAGAATTTAATATTCACATCTTTAATTATGGAAATCTCTGGTGAATTAATTTGTGCTGACGTGTAGTGACTTTTAAATATACTGGTACAGGGAATGGAGCTCAAATGCATTTTAAATCTGTTTTTAGTTGGTTGTCTTTTTTTTTTTTTTTTTTTAACCTGTCTTTCCTTCAAATTCATGTGCTTGGTCATACTTTATTTCAGAAGCATTAATTCTTTTGGAAAGTGCAAGGTTTAGAAAATAGTGCCGGGCAGCTCTTGTATTCTGTTCGAACATTTGTGGTCTGGGGGAGAGATGGGTTTTGACAAAGGCATGAGGAAGATAACCAGCACTGAAACTCATTTAATCACAAAAGGTGTATATTTTGCAAAGGTAGGAAAAATAGAATATGTATTGACTAGTTGAATTTCATTGCTGAAGGTGAGGAAACGCTGATGTGTGTTGAAGGAATCCGAGAGAAGAAATCTTAGAAACCATAAATGTGGGGATGTTAGTTTTGTTAGAATAAATCTAAATTTCTAATTCAGTATGCTCTTAATTTAAAGATTAATGTAGAAAGGCGTTTTCTCTTTCTGTAAATAGTGGTTAATGTGGTAGGGTTTTTTTTGTTGTTGTTGTTCATGTTTTTATTTGTTTCCTGCCACTAAGTGCTAGGTGGGTACAGTTCAGCTTATGAAGGAGGGGAGAAAAACCCACAAATATATGTAGCAGGAGAGAAAGATTTTTACACTGGATTTTTCAAAGTTCTCTTATTTTTAAACTCTTCTCTACCAGTGAACAAGGTGTATTATTACAGTTTTCATCTTATCCTGTGCTATCCTGACTGCGTAATTTAGTCTTGAACACTGAATGCCATTAGTGTTCTGAAAAATCTCATTCTTTCTGTTAAGAAAGAAAGTGGAAGGAAGTGAAGCGTGGAGCCCTGGATTGAATTTAGAAGATCAGGGTTATAACAACTTCACTGGGGAGTTAATGTTCTGCTAGTTAAATTTATTTTTTTATATGCGCTGGTAGAAGTGGTGATGTAAGATGGATGTCTAATTGTGTCTCTGTCTCTTTTCATTTAGAAATCTGAATAAACACGGTCTGTTCATAACCTAAAGCACTGCTGCATAGTGCTTGATATATTGTCAGTGCATGTTAATAGGCAGGACTTCTTTGGAATACTTAAAACAAGTTCCTATTCTATCATTTAATATTATGAGGCCCAGAAGAGTCTCTGGTCTGTCACTTTTACTGAATAAGTTACCTTGATAACTGATTTTAAAAAATCTAATTACTTCATTTGAATTGTAGTGCTTCTTTGTATGCCAGGGAGGCATGGTACAGGCAGCTCCAAAGTTCTTAAATTTTCCTATATCAAGCCTTCTTTCAGTAGGACCTTAGCATGTTATGATGTGCTCTTTTTTCTTTTCATTTTTCTTTTTACTGTGGGGTGCAAGGGGGGATGAAAAGCTGACAAATGTAGCTATGAATGTAACTTGGTAAAGGGTTGAAAAGAGTTTGAGGAGGTAAAATCTAATTATGAATAATTTAGAGTTCTTGTTTTGTTTAGCATGCTGCTAAAGATAATGGGATTGAGAATGTGTGTATCTCAAATATTAGCTCGCTCTCTCTGTTTTAATGTCGGTCAGGAAGGTGCAGTAGCAGAAGGATGCTGAGAGCTGGCATGTATACTTTGTTCATTGTCTTCTGCTCAGTGATTTTGGGAGATGATGGATTTTCAGAGGAAGTCGTTGGACTTCTCTAAGTGGAGGCCAGTCTTTTAGCATTTGGATCCTGGCAAATAGGGATATAAGTTTGGTGAAATATTCAGTTATTTGGGGAGAGGAAAATAATGAAGTTGGCATCATTCTTCCTTGATTTCCTTCTTCCCCACTTGCCAAGTTTCACATTCTGAAGAAGCATCCCACCCTCTGTGTGTCAGCCTTATTGTGTTACTTGGGTATTTTCTATCCTGACAATCAAAAATATGTGCTTCACTTAAGCTTGCATTAAACTGTTCTTTGTAGAAAAGGTGCTATTGTTCCTTACTACAATGAAAATGTATTTTTGAGTGGATTGTAAGTACTGAATGCTCAGAGATTGGCTGTTTATTTTCTGGTAGGGTGGGGTTTTTGTTGGTTTGGGGTTTTTTTTTTGTTTTGTTGTTTGTTTGTTTTGTTTGTAGGGTTCAAACAAAATTGAAACACGGGGTCTTTGAGAAGTCTAGTAACATATTTCTAGGAGTGGATAGAAAAAATTATGCAATTAAGTCTCCTTAAGTGACTGAGAAATTGGCTCAAATGACTGTAGAGCATCATATATCTGAACAACTCAAATTATGGGTAATTTTCACACAAGATTTGGTTTTCTTGAGATACACATCAGATTTCCCCATCTTTTCTGCATTACTACCAGAAGTCCTTGCACAACAGAAACCCCACAGATGAGTTGCCATTTCCCAAGGAAAGTGTAACTCATGCTGTCTTTCCCAGCCGGTTCTTTGTGCACACTACCGGGACATTATCCTCTTCCATGGTATGGAAAGACTTTGGGCAGGACCAGTTCTGTAAGCAGATCCTCTAGGGTTCACTGGTGGAGTGGCTTTTGCTATATTTACATCCCAGCACCTGGGATGTAAGTCTGTTATATCATTTAATCTTCTCAGAGGATCTTTGTGATACCCTTTTATCCTTTTTCCTGCTTTCTCTCTTTCCCTAGCTAGGGTATTTTTTACTTGTCCTGTGAAGAAAATGCATCAATTATTTAATATGCATTCATATTTACAGTGCAGCTACTGCTACTAAAAAGCTAGAACTAGGTAAGCATTAGAAGGAACAGAGCTTCTAAGTAGGATGTGATATGAAACTCTAGTTTATGGAGTTGTG